CATGTCATTCCCTTGGATTCGTGAGCTGTTTCAGCTTGCTCACGTCACTTCAATTCACGTGTGCAAGGGTCTAACACTGCTTCTATATATATGTATTTGTTAGCAAAGTCAAATTCTCCTTGAAATTAGGGGGTGTGGCGGGGAGTTATTTGAGTTTTAGTTGTACTGCCTTTGATTTTGTAATTTCGTAAGTTTTGGGTGCTGTAGTTGATGAATGGTAATATATGAGAACATATGACTTTCTGATGTCTCAAAATATAATGGAGTATTTCATCCTGGAAAGTATTTACAGGCATGCGAAGGACAAGAAGGCCTTCAGGAGTATTCAGCATGAATTTACCAAGGGAAAATCATGCTTGACCAGCTTGATAAACTTCTACGATGACATGACTGCCCTGGTGGGTGAGGGGAGGGCAGGTGATACTGTCTGCTTAGACTTCAGGAAGGTGTTTGACACTGTCTCCCATAGCATCCTCACAGAAAAGCTGGTGAAGTATGGGCTGGATGAGCAGATGTTGAGGGGGACTGAAAACTGGCTAAACAGCCAGGCCCAGGGAGTGACTGTTGCTGGCATGAAGTCTAGTTGGAGACCAGTAACTAGAAGTATACCCCAGGGGTCAATACTGAATTTACAATCCCATTTAACAGTTTCATTGATAATCTGGATGGTAGAGCAGAGTATACCCTCAGCAACATTGCTGATGACACAGAACTGGGTACTCTGGAGGTCATTCTGCCCTGCAGAGGGACCTCACCTGGCTGGAGAAATGAACTGACAGGAACCTGATGAAGTTTGACAAGAAGCGCACCTGGGGAAGAACAACCCCATGCACTGATATGTGCTGGAGGCCACCCACCTGGAAATCAGCTTGGAAGTAGAAGGACCTGAGGATTCTGGGGGACACCATGTTGAACATGAGCTAACAACGTGCCCTTGCCGCAAAGGTGGCAAATTGTCTCTTGGGCTGCATTAGGCAAAGTAGTGCTAGTAGGTCAAGGGAGGTGATCCTTCCCCTCTACTCTGCACTGATAAGGTCGCACCTGGAGTACTGTGTCCAGTGCTGGGTTGTCCATTGCAAGAAAGGCATGGACATCCTGGAGAGAGTCCAGTAGAGGCCCACTGAGATGGTTAAGGGTCTGGAGCAGCTCTACTATGAGGAAAGGCTGAGAGAGATGGAATTCTTCAGCCTGGAGAAGACTCACAGGGGATCTTACCAATAGTACAAAGAACTGCGGGGCAGGTACACAGAAGACAGACACAGGCTCTTCTCAGTGGTGCCCAGTGACAGGGCCAGAGGCAATGGGCAAAAACAGAAACACAGGAGGCTCCTTCTGATCATTAGGAAACATTTTCTTCCTATGAGGGTGACTGAGCAATGGAATGGGTTGCCTAGAGGGGTGGTGGAGTCTCCATCCTTGAAGATACTCAAAGGCCATCTGGACAAGGCTTCCAGCAGCTGGAGGTTGTCCTGCTTGAGCAGGAGGGTTGGACCAGATGGCCTTTTCAGCCTCCACTATCCCTGAATCTGTGAGATTGTATTTTGGCTGTCAGTAAAAAAATCTTCATGAAAATTCAAGATAGACAACTCGCCTCAAAGGAAGAGAGATTTCTTAGGACTGCATTGAAATGGTTGAACGTCTGAGACAACTGTCTACACAAAAAGAACCAAAATAACCGGTCAGTCCAGTTATTAATACCATTGTGTTTTCCACATTCTCCCAATATAATTTAAAATCTTGGCATACTGAATCTATAAAAAGCATGTCAGGCACACAGAATTCCTGAGAAAAATGGAAGAAACAAAACTTTTCTTTGGATTGAAGAAATGAGTACTGTGGAAGAGTACTATCACTTTAAGATCTTTGCTGTCAGGGGAACATGATGCATTGGCATGCGGAAACCCTGACAGATAGAAGAGGTTCTGGGCTGCCAAGGGAAGGTGAGAGGGGGCACCAAGTCATGTAGACTAGGAAGGTGATAGATGCAGCATGTCAGTAACACAAGCTCAGCTAAAGAAGCAGCAACCAACCCTTCTACACGAGGAAAATAATGCTTTGAATACTTAACTGTTTTGCTGACTGCCTATCCCATAATGACAGGTACTGTCCTGTGCTGCTGTCTGCTTGGGTATCTGAATTGGTATGGCACACAGCTGCTAAGGATGAAGTCATTTTGCCACAAGCATGCTTCATGAGTGAGGCAGAACACAAGACTAAAACAAAACTATTTTGACTTAGAAAAGCCAGGAAGGAGCCTTATAGGCCAGAAGGCATTTAAACCTTTTCTTTAATTATTCATCAAGTCATAGAATGGTTTGGGTTGGAAAGGACCTTAAGATCATCTAGTTCAACCCCCCTGCCATGGGCAGGGACGCCACACACTAAACCATGTTGCCCAAGGCTCTGTCCAACCTGGCCTTGAACACTGCCAGGGATGGAGCATTCACAACTTCCTTGGGCAACCCATTCCAGTGCCTCACCACCCTCACTGTGAAGAACTTCTTCCTTATAGCTTACCTGAACTTGCCTATTTAAATTTAAACCCCTTGTCCTAACACTACAGAGTCCTTCTTTTCATTTTAATTTAAAAGAACAGGAATTAACTTTAGCCTGCAACAGTCTTCAGAATTCTGCAATTAAGGACTCAGAGATCAATTGTTCTCTTGATCTTTTGTCAGGATTTGTTACTGTTGTTCCTTAATTCTGCCCAAGAGGGGAATATTGTAATTAAGCTGCTCTCAAGGGTTTATTCTTTTACAGGTATCTTCAAATGGCATCCAATCCACTCCCTTGAATCTTGCAACTTACTGGAAATGTAATGCTAGCACTACTGATGTTAGAGTGGATTATAAATACAATCCAGAGTCTATGAATGTGCCTAGTATGCTGTCTAACGTCCAGGTTGTGGTACCAGTAGATGGAGGAGTAACAAACATGCAGTCACTTCCACCTGCAAAATGGTAATATTAACGCTTTTCAGTATTATTTCAAATTCATTTCAGTGTATTCATTCATGTCAGACAGCGTGAAAATTTTGACTGAAAGAAAAAGCTAATTTTTTTTGTCTTGATAAAATTTGTAGTGTCAGATGTTTTCAGATCATGTGCAGCCAGATCACATAAACTGAGACAATATGCACCTGTTTTGACTGTGTAATAAGCCTTTGTAAAATTTCCAATATACTTTTGGCAAGTAGGACAGGCATTTTTAATACAGTAATTCAAAACCAAAATATCTTAATGCTTAAAAAACATCTTCTGTGTGTATAAATATATCCATATATTTGGATTATATAAAGAGAGTAGGAAAAAAGCATTTCTTAAAAAGATTTCTTGATTGTTCTAGGTTAAAAATTAGCTTCTAACTGAAATGGGTTTAAAACAAACCTCAGTAACTGAGGAGCTCTTCGTAAGCCAGGTAGCATTGTCTCTCAGTTCAAGTGTCGTACAGATTATTATCTGACTAGCAGCTGTCTGCCACCACCTTCTAAGCCTGCATACGCAGTAGTGCCTCAACGTGAGACACATATCTCGGGTAATTAGGTTTCTACAAGTTTGTGAAAACAAAAAGAGGGTGGGACTAGGCAGAGCAGTACAGCCCTGGAGCAAAAGATGAGCAGAATTCAAACACTGCACCTGCGGTTTAGCAGCACATAGGTACCGTTCCAGCTGTATTGTAATTCCTAGACTGCTTATTTCCAAGAGGGTCTTTTTAATATGAAGAAGGCAAAGAATACCAAGTTGAAGGCATTTCTTTTCACTTTGACTGTAAAGCTTTTTTAAGCTTGTTACTTTTGGATCAGTTTACCTTATAAAACAAGGTTCAGAAGAAAAATAAACCTGATGTGTTTTTCAGATGCATTCTGGTATTTCTGGAGGCAATACATTTAAAATGTATTAATTGAACAAAGTAGTAATACAGTATCAATTTAAGTAAAAAAAATCCTGGCAAGACTGATTCTTTCTTGACTTGGTATTTTTTGGGAGCAATACTTCAAACCAAATCACCGTAAACTTATTCTGAGTGAGGGCAGGTTCAATATCCTGCCTGAACAACATGACTAGAACACCTGGTGAAGCCAGTCTCCCTGTTTAGGCTTCTTCCATAAAACCCTCTGTAACGAAGCCTGAATGAGAGCAGGAGCACCCACCCAGAACACCTAGCGTTAGCTAGGAAGACTCAAATATTAATGACAGTTTCATTACAGATTCATCAGATGAAGGCACGTGAGCTCGGATACTCTCTGTTTCACACAGGCAGCTCCTCAGGGACAGAATTTTGAGCCTGGCAAGCTGACCAGGAAAAAAAAAAATACAGTCATGTCCCCAGCAGCTCCAGTGTTGTGTTGGGCTGTGTGTTTGAGCGAGTGGATTGGGTGGTCAGGTTTCCGGTGGGGGGTGTGTGTTAAATAGTTTTATAACTGGAGCACCTGCAAGTAACTACTACCATCTGTGCTACTTGCGTGAGCATTTCATTCCCGCTATGCCAATGCCAAAAGCAGTATCAAGCCTATCGGCACTTCATGCTGCTCGCATCTTTAAGTTGTTGACTTTTTCTTTGGTGGAACTGCAGCAAAATGCTCCAGGAGTTGAAATGCCCTGTGCTTGGTGCCATTTTCTGCCCCTTTACAGCATCAGAAGCTAGCTTAAACCCTGTGTTACTTATGCCAACTAATTTTACAAGAATGGAAATGGTATAAAATTCATGCTGCCAGGAGTCTTACATAGAGAAAGGCAACGAGCATTGCTTCCCCTCATAGCGTCATTATGAAGCATAAAGACATAGCTTTCAGATTACTTCCATAGCTTCTGGCCTGTCCTTACCCTTTGAGACTACAGAGGATTTTGAGTTGTGGAGCCATAGCTGTGGCACAGGACAGTCTTAACTGTATGAAAAAATGGTGTGTACTTCTGAGTGCTGCTGCTGTAGAGCAGTGTAAACACACCTTTCTCTTTTCCTGATTGCTTATATAGTTTTCCACAAACTTACCTTAAAATGATTAAGTATTTTTGTAAATATCCATTTAGAGATGTCTGTAATATACCAGTGTAAATCTAGAGAAATAATTTACTAAAACTGGTGCTTATAACTAATGTACCATTCTTTTACAGGAATGCAGACCAGATGAAAGCATATTGGAAAATATCTAGCATTTCGGAGAAGTCTGAGAATGGAGGCAAGTTGAACTTTTTTGTTTTGTTTTCTTGTACAGGAAAATTGTAACAGTAAAAAGGTAATCACTTTAGCCTCTACACCCTCATGCCTGTTTACACGTCTTGTCATGCTCTATGCTGTTTACCAGTTCACCTTCTCAGTCAGTCAAACAATGAGATATCAAAATGTGAATTTATTAATTAGCTGAAAAAGGAAAACAAAAAGATACAGAAGTCCTGTCCTGAGATAAACTCAACAGATGATTCTTGATCAGCATTTTGAGGGTCTTTGTTTTGACCATATATGACTCCAGTTAAAAAAATGAATCTATCCACATCTGCTCAGAGTGGTAATTTATGTAGCATTTTGTAAGGTACCAATAGTAGTCCTCTGCCCAACTGCCTTTCCCTGAGCTCCAATTGATGTCACAGCCCTTGCAGCCTCTTCAGATACAATTTTTTTCTGAATCAGAAAAACAGAAACCAAAGGGAGGCATCTTATCCTCAAGGCCTCTGTGGAGAAATGAATTCATGGTGTAAAGGAAAGGCCTTCAGCCCTGTTAAGAATTTAGTGAAGGCCACTATGAAAGCATAGATTTGCTTCTAAGTATGACTGGTTTCATACAGAAACCACCACGAACCTGGAAAGGGAGGATTTCTATGCCTTCAGAGGCTGCAAAGTTGTGGTCAATGATTCAAACTAAATCAGAGATAATTATTGCTGTAGCCTGGTGTGTTCTGTCCTTCACTGACCTTGCAGTTCTGTCTTCCACTGTAATTATATAGGTGTAGTCGTCTTTTTCTTCCTTCTCCAAACTGTGGAGCTTCTTTTAAAGTAAGTCGTACTAAAACACAAATGCAGCCAGAGGAAGAGCTACTGTGCACCTGCAAAGCAGCATAAAATGTGTTGCTTAGTGATGCGGATTGCACAGTGCATATGGTCAGTAGACTTGCATCCCACTGCTTCTGCTATATTCTCTTCTCTTACCACCATCTTTCTTTTCCTTTTCTTTGAGTATAAACACATAGTACTCTCAATTCAGTGTTAAGGAGAAAGGAATACTATGCTGGTCTTACATTTACAGAAACAAAGGGAGAAGTTGCACAAACATTTTTAATACTGGGACAAATATCTTGAAGACATCTTTATTCTGGTGTACAGGGTGGTATAATGTTTTGGGATTTTTTTTATGGTTCAACATGTTATGTGAGCTCTCAATTGCAGATGGAGATAAAACACAGAACAAACTTTCAAATCACTTGAATATATCAGTTTCCATATTTACAGTAGAAAGAAGAGTCAATTTACTCAAACTATGACCTACTGAAAAAATGAAATGGACCTTAAGCCAGATTTATCAACAAGTCATTGCATAAAACAATTTCATTCATTAATTCCCACTTTTAAACCAGTAACATTTCAGTTACTAGCTTTACTCATCATTTAGCAGTTTCTGTTGCCTAGGAATAGCAAGTTGTTTTAAAGAAGCAAAAATACTTGATTGTCGTTATTCCATTGTTAATTACTTAAGTAAATCTCATTTTTTCGAATCAGGTATTTCAAGTAGTAAGTGATTACCAGACTGATGCACACATTCTGTATAATCTTGAGAAATGTGTATGATTTCTCTGGAAATCATTCAGTAGTCATTGTCTTAAATAGTGTTTTGGAGAAAACACTTTCTCTCTCATTGCTTTTGAACATTTATGTAGGACTACCACTAGGAATAGATGGTCATCGTGTTAGTTTCACTAACGGTCATCACGTTAGCTTCACTTCTTACAACTGAAAATTTTGAGAGATCATCTTGTTCTTGCGAAAAAAACAGCTCTTCACTTTTGTTATTTTTATAGGTTCTGGATCCCTCAGGGCAAAGTTTGAAGTTTCAGAAGGACCCAGTAAACCAGCAACACTTGCAGTGCAATTCATTAGTGAAGGAAGCACCCTTTCAGGAGTAGATGTAGAGCTCGTAGGCACTGGCTATCGGCTTTCCCTCCTTAAGAAGAGATTTGCCACTGGTAAGGCGTTGACATGCTTATATAGTCAAATGGATATTATATATTCTATAGTGTTAAATTATAAAATATGAAACTGTTAAGTGGTACATAGTTACTTTTCATTAAAGCATGGCTGAAAACTGTTTCACAGGTGTTTTCTTTTTCCATAGTTACAAAAACTGCTCCCAGGAAAATACTGACAAAATCTGTTTTATCTATTGACTGCAAAAAACCCTACCTTTATTTTTCAGGACGTTACATGGCAGACTGCTGATATACCTGTGAAAGTCTTTGGATCAAAGGAGTGCAAGAAGCTCACTCTGCCTCTACCTGTTAAACACTATTTTAGCATGCATTAATTTTTTCCACATGTTGACCTACTTTGAAGCTGAACTACAGAACAGAAAATGCACTTTTAAAAGTCATTTTGCAAACTTTTTATTACTTTAAAATAGCACTGAAGTTAACTGCAACACTGTCTGTAAATGATCAATTGCAATATTTGGGAAAATTTGTTGAAATCTTAGTAAATTTATATAGATAAAGTCAAAATAGTAATCCATAGCTGTAATGAAAGTATGAAAATGTATGTTATACTGTAAACATTAAGCCTAAAAATGTAGGAGAGCAAGTAAGAAATATTTGAGCTTTCCATAAGTAATATTCGTTTTTCAGATTCTCTTAGTTGCCAGCTTTTTAAGATAGAAGAGGCAAAGTCTCATGTAGTTCTTTTATCTACTCATGCCACAAAACCAGCTGAGTTAGAGATGTATAAATATAACTTGATGCCCATGTATCATATATTATTAACATGTAAGTCATTTTATATAGGGTTTTTTTCCCAAGTGCAATGTGTTACAAAATTGCAAAAGACAGCAGAGATTTACTTCTGCAGTTAGTAAATTTTAATGGGTGTTGTGATTGTTTGAATTAATGCTGTAGATTTAATTTATTTTTATATGAATTGCATAACATTTGTGCCTTTCAAAAAAGCCTGTGCCTATCCAATTTGTTATTCACGTGCCTCGCTTCCTTTTACAAAGTTTGGCTTTTCATCTAGAAAGCATGGAGTTTCTGTACTACACACAACTTTATAAAAATTCCTTTTACTGGGATTTATTTAGAAGGCAGATTTGCAAAAACTGGAGATTGTTTTAAAAGAGGCTTAAAATACTGGGTTACTTCCTTATGGGGTAATTGCAATAAATGTGGCTATAGTAAAGGGAGATGCACCAAGCAGGACTTTGAAACTTTGAGATAGTAACTTTAATGTTACCAAAGACAAGAATACTGAAAAATCACTGAAGATGGTAAAAGCAAACAGCATTTCTCTTCACTCTGACTGCAAGTCTTTGTACTTTTGAGTGGTTTTGGGGATGTAAATGTAACATAGTACTTTGGGAGGAATAGCATTTTAGAAGGGTAGTTCTTGGCAGCAGGATGACAAGTACTGCCATTTGTATTAGTTGAATTTTTTTCTATAACCACCAATTTTAATATTTGTATTGTCATCTAATCTTGACATTCCCACAGCATAAGCACAGGGAAGTGACATAGTAGTAACATTTTTTTAAAGCAAGTCACTACTTCATAAAATCTTCTATGTATTTGTATTATCAAGAGTTTTTTCAGTGCTGAAATCAAAAGTATTGGGGCAAAATAATTCAGTAACCTGCACATGGGAATTTTGATGAATGACATTTTGAATACCAGTATCGATTTCAAATTCTGTATCAAAACAATAAAATGTGTTTGAACTAATTCGTGCAAAACTAGTAATGAATTGGACTGCTGAGGCTTTACAAGAAATTAAGCTTTATAGAGGCTACATAAATGCTAATGTATACTACACACTTGCAGATGAGAGTTCCATTGCTAACATTAAGTACATACTGTACTGTAGAGTTGATTGGAAGAGTATATTTGGCTCTTAATTTGCTAATCTTACTGAATGGTAAATTTCTAACTCATAAAATGGTATAGTCTTCTTACTGGAATCTTAATTGTAATCTGCTTTGCAGTCAAACTGTGGATAACATGACAATATTTTATTAACAAAACCCCAAAACTGTATTGCTATTCTTAATCAAGTATTACTTTAATTTCTAAGTCAAATGAAGTAGTTATATTTCAGCACTTAAACTAGCCTTTATTCAGGTGATTATACATACATTTGCATTGGGTGCAGGTTACAATTTTGAAGCCATACAACTTTGTTTAAGCATTTTGTAAAGACATTCAAAACCAATGTAAAAAGTACATGTAGCGATCTGATGAAAAGAAACGTATGTAGCAAGCTGGTTCTTGCTTATGTATACAGCAATATCCATTCTAGCTGCCTCCTAAGAAAACTAGTTTGTAAACACAACTCTAAAGGATCTGAATTTTTATGAATTGTTACTTCGTCAGACTGTAAATTAGAGCATACAAGTTTATCTTACAAAAATTGTAAATACTTCTGACTTTTCATAAAATGTAAATTAAAAAAATGCACCCATAATAAACATGTAATATATAATTTAAATGCTGATTTATATTGCCTATACTTTTGCAGTTAGTCCCACAGAGCTTCTATGCAACAAGATAACATAAAAAAACTATGCCTGTATTGAACATTCTAAAAGTGTTGGTTGGACTCTTCATCAGGGACTATAGCAACAGGACAAGGGGGACTGGGTTCATACTAAGACATGGGAAGTTTAGATTAGATATAAGGAAGAAGTTCTTCACAGTGAGTGTGGTGAGGCACTGGAACAGATTGCATAAAGAAGTGGTGAATGCTCCATCCCTGGCGGTGTTCAAAGCCAGGTTGGACAGAGCCTTGGGTGACATCGTCTAGTGTGAGGTGTCCCTGCCCACGGCAGGGGTGTTGGAACTAGATGATCTTAAGCTCCTTTCCAACCCAAACCATTCTATGATTCTATGATATGATTTTTAAGTGATTAGGGGTAGAGATAATGTATGAGCTCTTTTATATATATCAAACAGAAAAGGTGGGTGGAAAGATGACTTCCACAGAGTTGCATTTTTACTAAACTGGAATGCCCAAGCCGTCTGCAATGGCTAATGGCTTTACTGAGTTGATATGCTTAAGCTAATAATTTAGATTAGGCAAAATTATGGATATGTTTATCAGAAAACTTTGTAGACATGAGCTGCTCTTTGTAAATGATGTTATCAAATGCAATACATTCCCTAACTTCCTTAATAAGCCTATGTTTCGTTGAGTGCACAGGAAAAAATCAGAAAAATCAGTGGCAAGATAAAAGTAACTCTTTCTGGTTTCTTATATTCCACCAGTCTGAAAAAGTAGATGATTTAAGTACTACTTGATCAGTCTGAGAAGAGTCCTTCTAAGCTGCAACCACAGAAACAAAAGTTCAAACCGAGCAAATGTGTTTTAATCTGTTTCTTATCTACTAATCCCACAGCCTGTGTAACCAATGACTTATTAAACTGACTTTCAGATGGTTGGATACCATTGCAATAAGTACCGTTCCTGTCATACTGGAAATTAATAGTCCAAGAGCTTGATTCTTATCCTCTGCTGGAAGGCAAGATTGAAGAACATGAGTGCCTTACAGTCACACAAAATCACAGAATGGGTTGGGTTGCAAGGGACCCTAAAGATCATCTGGTTTTAACCCCCCCATCACAGGCAGGGACACCTCCCACAAGACCAGGTTGATCAAAGCCACATCCAACCTGACCATGCTTCCAGGGATGGGGCAGCAACAACTGCTCTGGGCAACCTGTTCCAGTACCTCACCACCCTTGCAGTAAAGAATTTCTTATTTATATCTAAACTAAATCTTCCCTCTTTCAGTTTAAAGCCATTCCCCCTTGTTCTGTCACTACATGCCCTTGTCCCTCTCCAGATTTCTTGGAGGCCTCCTTTAGGCACTGGAAGCTGCTCTAAGGTCTCCCCAGAGCCTTCTCTTTTCCAAACTGAACAAGCCCAACTCTCTTAGCCTGTCTTCATAACAGAGGTGCTCCAGTCCCCGGATCATCTTCATGCCCTTTTCTGGACTCACTTCAGCAGATCCATGTCCCTCTCGTACTGGGGGCCCCAGATCTGGATGCAGTGCTGCAGGCGGGGTCTCAAGAGAGCAGAGTAGAGGGGGAGAATCACCTCTCTCAACCTCTCGACCTGCCGATCACGCTCTTTTTGATGCAGCCCAGGATATATATGGTTGGTTTGGAATGATCCATCTAGCCCATCTGTCTTCAACAATGACCAAAGAACAGGCTATGGCACGGAGAGCTCACAATCCATTTCCTTTCTATCTCCCCAGCATCCTCAGTTATCAGTTAGGGATGTAAAAGGGTTTCTGCTCAGTTCTTCTAGTATTCATTGAACCTGAAGTGTCAGAGATCACTGCTCTGGCACTTCCATTAAAATTTTACTTTTGTTACTGTACACAAGCGCCCATGTGCTACTCACAACTACTATAAACTGCATTTATACTGCCCAAGCAGGTTTCTGATTATCTAAGTACATCATCATGTAGCTTTTCAGGGATAACTGACTACCTCTACCACTGGCAAGTAATATTTACGTAGGGTATTTGAAGGAGCTAAGATATTTGACTATCAACTGGAACAGCATGGGAGTTAAAATGGTGGTAGATTTTGCTATCTAACTAGAGGGGAAGGTCTTGCAGCATGCCAAAAAGGATTACATTTCAAGTGTTGTGTGTTTGAGAAGCTTAAGATAGGCATCTTGATATCTGTGTACCTTTTGTTTTCTTGGAATTGCTAGATAATTGGTTTCCATTTCAGTTGTCGTGAAAGGGCAGTTTTACTTTAGAGCATGAAAGAAAAAACTCAGGAATTCCTCCAAGGGTAAAAAAAAATTCCTCCAAGCTAAAACCAGTTCAAGGTACTAAAGCACCAAATAACATATTTGCTGTGTGGTGCCCTTGATTGGACCGATTACCAGGCCTCTTAATTGAAAACTTAATGTTTACCTTCAACTCTGCATGTTATTACATGACTGAGTATTCCTTCTCAACTCAGTTTGACCTTAATGTTTGCTGACATGTTGATTTTTACATAAGTTCCTCCTTAGTTCATTCAATAACCAACAGAAAGTATAGAGTCTTTAAAATATTCTTAAAAACACAAGAGACCTCTTCTGGATTACTTATTAAACATTTAGTACTCAAATTCTGCATTTTCTGGAGCTGCTTTCACTTCCTTTAGAATCAACTCTGTTTTTAAATCTGGGATGCCTATTGTAATTATTATAACTGAAAGTACGATTTTTGTTTGCCATTGTCCCAGATGTATTTCTTTTTAAAAGCCTTGGGTTTTACCCTCTTTTTTTTAATTATTAGTATTATTAGAACTCAGCTTCTTATTTTTTAAAAGTTAGGTTAGTAATCACAAGCCATAAACCATGACAACTTCAGCATTGTTTATGATTAAACTTTTCCTCTTAGCATCACCCAACCTACCTTCTTGAAGTCCTCATTTCCTGAGTTATGTTTTCTGCTCCAGAAAGTTAGCAGTGGTAATTGTGATGACTCAAAATTCAGTGATAACTCAACTCTTTCTTCATCATGATTAAATGAAGCAGCCCGTTTCTAAAACAACTGCTAATTCTGCCCTCCAGATGTCCCCTCCTGCTTTGTAATGAGGTAAACTCCGTATATAAAATCCATAGCATTCCTTTCCACTTCCCACTCCTGTCGCTGGCAGGTTATACAAATAGCCATGACCAATACAGAAGTAGGAAAGCTGCCCCAGTGTTAGTACTGATACGACACTGGATCCAGGCACA